TTTATCCAATCCAACGACTACAAGCTGTGGTTGATTGTGAAGAACGGCTGCGGAGTCCCTATGAAGAAAGTCGGTGAAGTCAACGTCCCCAAAACCGAAGAGGAGTTCACCGACGAAGATTGCAAAAAGATGGAGCTCAACGCAAAGGCAATAAACATGATTTATTGCGGTGTTAATGCGGATGACTACCGCAAAATCTCGCGGTGTGAAACCGCAAAACAAATGTGGGAGAAATTCGAGGTCACCTACGAAGGAACCGCGCAGGAAAATGAGAAGATTGAGGAAATGTTTGAGAGATTCTCTAACATCATCAATCCTCTCAATCTTCTCGGGAAGACATACACCGACCGAGAGCTCGTGAGAAAGGTGCTGCGAAGCCTATCCCCCAAATGGCGTTCAAAGGTGGACGCAATCGAAGAAGGTCGTGACTTCCAAACAACGACCTATGATGCTCTTCGAGGTAATCTTATTACCTACGAAACCACCCAACTCTCAAAGGTGGTTGAAGAGAGGAACAAGAGGTCCATTGCTCAACCCGCAACAACATCAACCCACAACAACGTTGATGATGAAGAAGATGACAGCGACGACACCGACCTCGGACTCTTTGTCCGAAAATTCAAGAAGATGTTGCTCAAGAAGGGAGCCAAGAAGAACACTCCACCCAAATGCTATGGGTGTGGTGAAATTGGACACATTAAACCAATGTGCCCAAAGCTGAAGAACGAGAAGGACAAGAGGGCACCGAAGAAGCAACGTGCCTACATTTCTTGGGAGAACGACGGCTTCGGGAGTGAAGACTCGGAAAAGGAGGAAGTGGCCAACTTGTGTCTCATGGCCATTGAAAATGGTGATACATCAAAAGAGGTAAGTGATCAAGAACCTTCTCCCAATGATCCTTTAACTCTTAATGATGTTGTTTGCATTGTAGAAGATTTGGTAAGAATGTTCAAAAAGGCTTCCAAAGAAAACAATGAAATAAAGCCAAAAATCCTGATTTTTGACAATGAAATCAAAGAACTCAAAAATATAAATGATAAACTTAAACAAGAAATTATCTCTTTTGGAAAAAGGCCACAAGAACCTTCAACTACTTCTACATGCTCTAGTTGTACATCACTAAAAGCTAAGGTTGCTAGTTTGGAGAGCAAATTGGGAAAGTTCAATAATGCTTCCAATACCTTAGATAAAATACTTAAGCAAAAACTTAGTAATGGTGAAGGACTTGGATATAAGAAAAACCAACCTAGAAAAACAACATTTGTTAAAGCTAGGGGGAATAAAAATGCTAGGATAAATAATCAAACTAGAAAAGCACATCCTAGCAAACCTAGAACTCATTACACTCAACCATATAGGATGAATAATCCAAATGTTATTTGCCACTATTGCAATAAGATAGGTCACATTGCACTCGTGTGCTTCACCAAAATTAGGCATTTTCTACAAACGCACACACATCGCACATATGCTAACCAAAAAGGACCCAACAATACATGGGTACCTAAACCGTCTCCTTGATATCTTTTTGTAGGTGTGCTTGAAGGCTTCGAGTACCTCTTGGTATCTCGATAGCGGATGCTCCAAGCACATGACCGGAGACGCATCCAACTTTAGGAGTTTAGAGTATTTCAAAGGTGGCAATGTTGTTTTCGGTGACAACAACAAAGGAAGAATCATTGGAAGTGGCACCGTCAGAAAGGACAATGCTACAACCGTTGAGAACGTTCTTCTTGTTGAGGGCCTCAAGCACAATCTTCTTAGCATTAGCCAATTGTGCGATAGAGGTAACCGTGTCATCTCTGATTCTAGAAAATGCATTGTAGAACGCTTGTGTGACAATAAGACTATTCTTTGTGGTAGTAGAGTAGATAACATTTACATGTTTGATCTTGAAAATTCCCCGTCTACTTTAGCTAAGTGCCTCATTACCAAAGAGGAAGAAACGTGGCTATGGCATCGTCGGATAGCTCACCTTAATATGGACCATCTTAATAAGTTGGTTTGTAAAGACTTAGTAATTGGTGTTCCTAAACTTAAGTTTGAGGAGAATCTAATTTGTGATGCATGTCAAAAGGGGAAGCAAGTAAGGGCCTCGTTTAAGTCAAAGAACGTTGTTTCTACGACTAGGCCATTACAACTTTTGCACATGGACCTTTTTGGACCTTCAAGAACTATGAGTTTAGGAGGTAATTACTTTGGCTTTGTTATCGTTGATGACTATTCGAGGTTTACATGGACACTCTTTCTTGCTCATAAGTATGATGCACTTAATGCTTTTAAGAAATTCATTAAATTGGTTCAAAATGAAAAAGA